TCGATTACTCAATAAGCCCTGAAGAATTTCATTGACGTTAAAGAATTAGAAAAGCAACTGCGAGTCAAGCAAAAACCCCGTGCCTAATCTAACGCATCGCATCAATCGGCATTAATCTTACTATTAATCATTCTTTACAACTATGTATATACTTTCAAAAATTCACAAAATTCTTTTCATATTGAATGGCTCAAATTTGTTGTTTCCTCAAACCTTCAAAACATTCCGTTCGTTGTGCACTTTTCTCGAGTTTATTTCATTGAATAATGTCATCAATACGAACGTGTTGAATACAATCGTAAAATGTTGACTGGGCGGTGCAAACAGTGCCGCGTATAGACCACTCTTAATACCAAAAAGTCGATGTCCTGGAACAAAAGTCTATTTATCAAGTTTGCGAACCAAATCCTCGCACAGCATTTACCAACAAATCTTGGGATCATACAGTGGAAACATAAGGCTTGTGAATTCCTGAGGCCAAATTTGAAAACTTTCTTCGTTGTGTGCAGAATCACAAATAAAAACTGATCACTGATACACAAATAAAAACCAATAAAAACTGAATTCATTTGCTTTTAGGGATCAATTCAATACCCCTCAAATTTCACATGCTACGTGCACTTTCGAGACGAAATAAGAATGCTACTGGAAGTTCCTCTAACCGTAAAAGAAAAGTGTGAAAAGAATGATCATCTGATAGATTGCATGCGATGCAATGTTTTTGACCATCGTTCGTGAGATCAACGACTTGTTACGACCATACGGTTTTCGATTCAACAAATCATCAGTTGGTCTTTCGGTGGCCAGCGCCAACGACGCCAGTGTGTCCATAATGAGATTGATCCATAGCATATGAACGGCTTTAAGCGGTGAATCGGACACCGTACAAGCACCAACAAAAGCAGTCATTACGGCAACCACATTCACGGTCAATTGAAACTGGAGAAATTTCGAGATTGAGTCATATACGTTACGACCCCACTTAACCGCTTGCACGATTGATGTGAAGTTGTCATCAGTCAAAATGATATCAGACGCTTCTTTTGCTACATCCGTCCCAGCAATACCCTGAAATTTAAAATGTTCTCATGACTGATAATTTTCGGAATAATTCGATGATCATTCCACGATGTCGATGAAATCAACATGTTGCAACGAACTAAAACCAAGCTAATATACCGGTGAAATAAG